AGTGCATTATATAGACCCAACGCATCTGACAGCGTTTAGTACGAAAGCATGATGGTTGGCGCCTTAACTGGCGTAGTCCGATCCACTTTCGAGCTAAATCTAACTGACAAATACAGGTTCCTACGCCTGCTCTCATGTTAGGAACTGTTGCACTAAAGCAGTAGTACTTAAGGGGACGGTCAAACTTGAACTGTGTGTCCAGTTGCTTTCGCTGGTCTTATTTGGTCGGCGAGTTAGAAGAATAGGTTTTTGGTGACCAAGTCGGATAGTCAACTGTCGTTTTTTAACGCTGCAACAAACTCTGGGTTTTTAAAGTTTTAGGAACTTCCGGGGAAATAAATTTCTGACATCTTTTACAATAAATTTTTGAAATGCTTACCTTACTTTTATGATACAAAAAATAATCTGTTGGTTTGTGAAAGGATTTACCCTTATTTTTTTATTCTTCACTTTAAATTTTGAAAGTTTCTTGGTCTGATTTAGCAGCTATAGAGTTCTGCGTCATTTACGCAAATTGCAAGGATAGTTCTGAGCTGGTACCGGTTCTACTCGTAAGTTTTAACTCCAGTAAGTAAGATCCAGTAATTGTTTGAGAAATTTACAACAGTATTTTAAAATGATAAAAAAATTTCTTGAGATTTCTGGAAGACTTTGTGTGCCGTTCACTAATGTTCTATATCTTTTACAGCGGCTGTAGCCAAGTGTGTTCATTTCAAAAATTGATGGTTCTGAGGGATAATACTAGCAGAAATATTTTTAGTTCTTCAAACGCTTCTCAATCGTTTAAACGTCACTGTAATGGGTTGCAACGCAGAGCACTGTACTGGGAGCTTCAAGTTTTTCAACTAGCGGTCAACAAGATCCACAGTACTAACGTGCAGCATACAAAGGTCAGAAATTAAATTTTGAAATTTGTTCGGATGGCAATAGCGAGAATTAGAGCAAAGGAAACCCGTGTTAAACAAGTCCGCAGCATGAATGAAAACAGCAGTCAAAGAATTAAAAAAAAGAAAAGCGAGAACAATCTTTTGGAGGTTTGAAATCAAGAATAAAGCGAATAGAGTAATTAATTTGAAACGCGGGGGACACTTAAACAAGAGAATATACAATATAGAAGAGTGGCAAAGTAATAATATTGCCTGCTGTCACGCAGTCAATGCTGTACAGTCGAGGCGCTGCTGCTCCGATTTTTTGAAACTGCTGAGAAGGAACAGCGTTTATGAGAAGCTTGAAAGCAGACTGTCAGTGTTAGGATTTGTTTAGATAGGACTGATAGCAAAGCTTAAACAAGAAGAAGTATCACTGATTAATTGATTTGGCTAAAAGACTAAGTTTCGGTTTTAGACGGTCAACTAACTGCGACGACAAAACATTATTTACACTGGCAAAGTTTCAGCTGTCTTACTTTTTGATTGCTTTTATCTGCAGGATTTCTTCTGTTTTCTGGACGTCTACTTTGTAATGTAGTTGTTTTCACACACATTTAATCATGAGTAATTACTCATATTTAGAAAAAAATTAACTTTAATTTGGTTTTGTATAACTAATGACCGCTTCCCACCTTTTTAAAATAATATAATAGTAAAGTAGTTTGAAATTTGCGATATTAGGACGCACAGTGGTAGATAAGTTGAGTGGTATCATATTTTTTTGCTGCTGGCATATAATGTGAATAAAAATTGTTGTGGAATTTGCAATCACTTTTATTTCAAAGTCTGTTTTTCCTTGATTTGCTGTTTTTAGCTTTTGGATAACAATTAAAGACCACTTCTTCATCTTGTTCAACTTAAGTCTCAAGCACTGAAAAAAGTGAGGATATGGCGCTAAAAAGTATGATAAAACAAAGAAGTAGTTTTAACGTATGATTTGACGCTGAAAGCTTTTTACACCTGCTTTGCTTTTTACCTTTTTACAGCCTTCTAAAAATTACCAAAACACAACTTTTGTTATTCAGTTGCGCCTAACCATTGCATATGTGGAAATTTTTGTGTGCTTCTAGTATATTTCACTTTCAATATATTTCACAAATACCAAAAATGCTTTTTGAAATACAGCAAAATTTATTGTTCTAGACCGTTTCAATAACAAGTTATCTAAGTTGAATAATTATTCTTAAGAATAAGTTTTCTTCTCATTTTCTTGGCAGTGATTATACATTTATAACTTTAAAATTTTGCTAAACTAATTGAAGAAACAAATTTGGCTCTCATTTAGACTGGTGGTCCCTATCATGCTGATTGGCTAGAGACGATGATGCCAATCAGAAGCCCGCTTTTTTTGAACAGTATTTGGATGCCATATACAGTATGTTTAATTCACTGATAACGGTAAGAGATACCTCCTCACTTCTCTGATGCACAGCCTCGCAGCCCGTCTAGAGTTGGTTGCATACAATTATATAGGGAACTAGGAAGATGGTGGTGCCCCGCAAATTTTCTTCTGGATTCGGAAGAAAATGAAATCAGTTGGTTTACCCAACTGACTAAACGTCAGATAGTCCCTTCCATCGTAATTCGTCCGGTGAATGCATTTTGGTGAAGAGGGGAAAAAACTGAGGAAACGGCGCATGTCCCTTTTTCAAACACAATTAAAGAAAAGGGAAAGGCGAGTGAAGCGAACGGAGCTCAGGAAGCTTCCTTCTTCTTTCTCTCCTATACCTAATAGCAAAAAATTTCAAATATCCCTTGAAAGACTGCAGCTCCGAGCTTTCACTTGCCGCAGGGGATTGTGAGCTAGCGTGTCGTGTTTCAGTTGCTGGGTCTGTTCCCAGCAAATATCCTGGTTTTTCGCCGGTAAAGCTTCGGAATTCCCACTTTTGTTTGCAAATCCCTGAGGCTGAAAGTTACCTTCTGCTATTCTTGGATGTTATTCATTGTTTTCCACCAATTAAGTGTTAATCGGTGTGCGTCTTCTTAAACTCTAATGGATTGCTTAGGTAGTTTTGGTCATCGGGATCTTTCTCAGAAGCTTACCCTTTCTGATAACAAGTTTTAGGCTTTTCTTTAAATTATTGGTGTTCTTTTCGTTCAGCGAGTTTGTTTTTGCGGCAGCGGTA